GAGAGAGGAGGTTATGGAGAGGCTGGAGTTCCACCACGAATGATACAATATGGGACTATTTCACTTCCTGAAGTTCCACGATATAGGTCTTTTCAGCATCCCGCTCCAAGGCATGATCGCGTTGTATACCTTCCGAATGACTTCTATGACCAAGCAACAAACTACAATGGCTTTCAGCAACTATCTTCAAATTCTGAAGCCAGTTCACCAAATTTTATACCTTCTCCAATGTCTTTTTTTCAGCTCTTTTTTACCAATGAAGAGTTTGAAATATTAGCAACAAATACAAACTCCTAGGCTAGACAAAAGGGTACAGGAAGGCAAGGAAGAGCATGGCGGCCAACTTCTGGAGCAGAGTTAAAGATTTTCTGTGGTATTTTGATATATATGGGTGTCAATCAGAGTCCGAATGTTGCAACTTATTGGAGTAAAAACCGAGAGTTTCCAGTCCATGAGATTATTCGATACATGACTTTAGTCAGATTTGAGCAGCTAAAACAATACTTCCATGTTGCTCCACCACGTGAAACTCCACTTCCACCGTCTCAATGGTCCTATTAGCTCTAGCCTCTTGCTTATAACCTACAATGCTGCTTTCAGTATTTCTCTCTACCAGCTACCGAGGTATCCATAGATGAGATGATGGTTCAGTTTACTGGTAGATCAAACCATACAACAATAATTAAAGGAAAGCCCATACCACAGGGATATAAAATGCTCGCACTCTGTGATCGAGGATATACTTTTAGTTTTATGTTTTCTTCCCAATCATAGTCCTTTTCTGATCTACTATCCCTCTATCATGGAAGAGAAGTATTATCAACCACCTCGAAAGCTGTCTTTCAGCTTGCAACAACTCTGCCAGCTCAACGCTTCTGCTTTGTCCTTTAGTGTGACAACTATTTCAGTAATATTCCTTTATTTACAGCATTACAGGAATTCAATATTAGTGCTTGTGGTACCATACATACTATATCTGCTTGCTACCCATCTGAGTTCAAAATCGAAAAGTGGAATTCAGGATTACCCTGGAATACAGTATCTGGTATTGTTTCTGGTAATGTTTTAGTCTTGTTATAGCAGGATAAAACATTAGTTCGGTTTCTGATTACGGCTCATGAGTCAACTCCAGAGCATCAAAACTTTGAATACTGTAACCGGCGTCACCGCATATTACTGATACTAATCGGAATCTAATTGAGCAAGGTTGGGGCTCAGACCCAATTCGTCGTCTTTTACTTCCTCGCTTCTCAGTTGACTATAATAACTTCATGGGTGGTGTTGATATTGCCGACCAGAGAAGAAGTTATTACAGTACTCAATTGAGAGTTTATCGAAATTGGTTTCCAATATTTTTCTGGCTTTTAGATACAGCAATCATAAACTCATATCTTATTGCTTGTCAAACTCTACCACATCCTCCCCGTGTAACGATCCCTTTTCCGATATTCAGTTCTTGGCGATGGGGAACGATACTTATCTCTTCTTCTGCTTTTTTCCCTTGTCTTACGATAGCTCTAGGCCTTTGCCTATGTTACCGATAGTACAAGACCTTCGTCTTCTATCGGAAACACCTATCGTAAGCTTTCTCTAACTTGTCTTCGTAACGCGTACTTCTTGGCGTAATAATAAAGTTGCAATAAGGATAAAGATCGTAAAGGTGTTTTATATTCGTTAAAGTAATATGTAGGAAAAGTACTTAGAACAAAGCGTGAAGAACCTATCTTCCTCAGCCGCATCGGCCTCCTTATATAGTGTTCTTCCCGCCTTCAATCATGTGACCCAAAGTGGTCACATGTGCGAAACCAAATCATAACACAATAAACAAATCATATGACTCGACTGAGTCATATGCACGAAACCCATGACATCATAATAAGGTCATGTGCGAAACATAAATCATATGCGCAAGGCTTACCCGTAAGGCATACTCGTAAGGCATACTCGTCAGGCGCATGTCCCATGACTCATACTCGAGCCATGTGCGAAAGCATCACAAATCCCACACATAACTAATCATACAACCCGAATAGGTTATATGCGTGAAACAATAACATACCTGTGACCCATAACCATGTGTCACGTGAAAATCCTTTCCTTACTAAGTCACGTTCGTGACACCCCGCCATGCCACATACCTACAACATCATGGCTGCTTCCAAACCTGTCTTGCTTGGAACTTAGTTTTATCTGGTTTTCAAACCATCAATCCTTCCTTTGAATGGCGACTCCAAACTGAACTCAACCCACCCGCCCAAGGGCAACACTGCCCTAACAGCATATCAAAGGGAAATACCTCTGAAGCTCGGTATACTGGTTATGTGGAAAAAAACTATAAGCTCTCTCCGGCTCGGTTCACCCCTGCAACTCATTCACTCCGGTCAGTCACAAAGCGTACCCTATCATTTTGTCTATTTTGTTGATTTCTATCCAAATCCCTAAGTCATAGAATGTGGTTTAATGATGGACTTGGATCACGGGGCCCGGAGGAGAAAGTAAGGCGTACAAAATTTGAATGTAGTTACTGTAGAGTTCCTCTTTGCTGTGAATTTTGTTTTAATATGTATCACCAATATAGGGAGTGAACCCTATCAATTGAATTTCAAGTAAGTTTATATTAACCATACTCAGATATAATGTGCTTGTAATGGTTGCAACCAGCTCACCAAGAGAGGAATAGCAATCAGCACCTCGCTCTCACTAAAGTCACTAAAAGTGTGTGAAAACCGGGACGGCTGAAGGGATGACTAGGGAAACATCGAGGTATTCCTTCCAAGTTCTGCCAAGGGATCTTGCGTAGTCAGAAAACAATGTACGATACAGTAGAGTGTAGATAGGGGCTATACTCGTAGACCCAAACACATGCAACAACAAATCAGGACGACAAAGGTCAAACCGTTAGATAATGGTAAGGTTTGAGATTTGCTTTGGTGGCATGATGCCACCGGTAGCCCCCTTTGGTTGTCTACCGGTCATACATTATCTCTGCGCAAGCTTATCTGAGCTTCCAGTTAGCACGATAAAAATTTTCTCTGCAACTACTATCTATCCTAGTCGAACCCTCCCTCTGGTAACATAATAAGGGTCCTCAAACCTTGGACTGCATTTGGATGGGTTCGGGAAGGAAATTTGCTACCAGTGCTTACTGGTTCAAGTTCCCATCCCCATTCAAAGCGAACCCATCGGGCCCCAGTATTCTCAGCAGATTGACTTTTGCTGGCATCGGTGGGGTTGGCACTCTCCAAGCAAAATCTAGTTAGCTCATGCATTTTCCCACTACGAACAGCATGCGCTCGAGTAACAGTGTTTTGAACTTAGGGATGTCCAAATCCCTTTTTCGGATACCAAACCTTCTTGACAGATAGTCCATGGCATTGGTTGTTCGCTTGAGGGAAAACGAACCCATCCCGAACCCACCTAAATCCCATCCAAGGTTTAATGGCCCTAAATGTACCGGATGGAGCATAATCATGCCAGTGTGATGAAAACCTGGACAGATGAGGACAATCCCGTCCAAAACAACCAAAAAAGTGACTTTGACGACAAAATCTATCAACTCTCCAAAAGACCCAGAAATTCTAGAAACAAAGTTCCAGAGTAATCGGAACTCTAAAAACCAGTTTATAACCTCAGGTTTCCGAAAAAATTCTCTTATTCCCTTGTTATTTCGGCCTCAAGCTACGAGCGTTATGGGAGTATCATTCCCACCAGGAGCACTCGCGCCTGGCGCCGCGGAGTTGAGGCTGGACACTTTGTGTGGGAGTTGCCATCTTAGTAGCCCAACCTCAACTCGACCGTGAGAATACCTCACAGCAGAGATGCTTTTTATCGTGCAAACTAAGGCTCAGTCAACTTTATGTACTGTACTCGTACTTGTACTCGAGTAGGGATAATGTGGCGTTATTTTTAGCTGATGGTCTGTCCATCTCCCCCGCCAATCCCGAGTACTCGTCCTTGGTACCTGTACTCGAGTGCTCGAGTATTAGACTTGAAAGGTGTACTAGTACTAGTACTCGTACAGTACCCGAAAACAGGGGGAACAGATTTTGTATGGGCGCTCAGATACGCACAGATATTTTCCATACTCGAGTACCGGTATTTCTTTGATCCCTGTTTTCGGGTACGATACATCTTACCGGGAACGAGTACGAGCTCACCAGTGGGTTACTTTAGTTCCTGTCCCAACTCTACCTAGTCTCCTCTTCAAGCGGGACCTGAAAATTTCGCAGACAAATATTTCCCGGCGCCCCCGGTACTTGTACGGGGTGGAACCTCGGTGTCTCGGGGCATCGCTTTCTCGGGCACGGCACGGCGAAACTGGATTAGCATCGCACATGATACTTGGGCTATGATATGGTTTGTGGCGCCCCTATCGTTGACCCTCTCTCGCACGACATCGGCACTTGGCACACTCCCCCGAGCAACCACCAACCGGCCAATCAATAGCCGGCTTCCCACACTGCTGACCTCCGGAAGATATTTCCCACAAGAAAATTCCTGCCGCCCAGCCTATCGGTATCTCGCTGCGCCAAAGACTGCCGGTACTGTACTGTCGAAGAATTATCCCTTCTCCCATCATTTATGACGGCAGTCCTGAGAAAAGCCCTCCGAGCCCCCCAAATGCTGATTCCAAGCCGTGCCGTAATATCGTTTTCTCGAAGGTGGTCAGTTCACTGTGCTTGGACTCTGCTAGCACTCCAACCCTCCCAATTTTTCCCCTCTCGACGCCACGGAGGCACCGATTGCTTTCCTAAGAACGAAAGCGAGTTGTAAGAAATTGCGCCCTGGGAAAAGAAAAGAAAAATCCCCGAGAAATTTTAGCATTGACGACCACACAAGTAATAATAATGCACTCCCCAAAAACTCCACTCATACCAGGCGAGAAGTATGATGCCCAATAATAGGGATTCGCAAAATATGGCGAAAAATCCGTGCGCATCTGAGTAGCATGCACACTCACCGCCCCGCCTATCAAACACTTCTCGAGTTCTCGCCTGCTATGGGTGGACTACCGGTATCCAGAAACCACCGGCAAATCCCGTCTTGGGTCCCACAAGACCCCAGAATGCCCTGCGACTCATAACGCTACTCGAGTACGAGTACTAGTACTCGAGTACAGTACCGGTACGGTAAAAGCCGGAATAATCCAGAAGGATGCTGGGACGTCCAGGATTTCCCCCTTCGGATTAAGGGGGGAGCACAGCGAAAATACCGGTACTGTATTCCCTTCAGCCCTCAGCTGAGAAGGGTGAGAAGGAGGGATGGATACAACGGCCTTACCGGGAGAGCCAACTCCAACGGCCTGCGGAGATTCTACAGTACCGGTAGGTTATTCTAACCCTTCAGTGCCGTGACATTCTGCTGCAGACAGGCAGGCCATGTGGTTGGATATGAACTGCTGCTGCACCAGCACTCGGGTACAAGTAGCTGCGCTGGGGGGAACGACGAAAATGCACGGGTGACGAACAAGGGCCTTTGGTGGGAGAGCTGCTCAAGTGCTGTACCACAGCACGGTATTACTGTGTATTACTGTGCTAGTACTCGAGTTCTCGTACGTGTACATGGGCCGGTAGCACAGTGCCCCGGTGGGTGGGAAGGGCATTCGAGTTCCCAGTAACTTTAACGGTCGGACAGCTGGCCGAGGACGGGGGGTGGCAGCTCAAGGAAGGTCACTGTGCTCGTACTGGCATGGATCCTGCACACTACACGCGAGCGGGTGAGGGATTGACAGACGCGACATTGCGGGGTGGGAAGGGTGAGAAAATTCTTCAAATCAGGGAGAGGAGAAGTGGGGGCAGGATGGTGTGATATGGGGTCGGTTACATAGTGTTGGGGGGGGATTCTCCGGGGCGAAAAGGTCGTGGATTCTGGCTACGAGTATATGCCCAGGCACGTGCCTCGTGATGTATCATACGGTAATAATGTTCGTTTCTTGTCTACCGCATCAGTCTGCTAAGGTACTTGGAAGTAGGACCCGCAACAAAACACTGAACCACTGAACTGAACCACAATAACAAATATCCCGAATGCACCCCCTAACACCTAACACCCACCACCACCACCAACCCTCCCAACCTCACTCCCAGCCCACTCCCTCAAGACCCCCTTGAGCACCTTCCCCGTAGCATTCTTCGGGATCGTGTCCACAAAGACAACCCCCCCTTCAAGCCTCTTGTACGTCGCGACTTGACTCTTGACAAACTCTTTCACCCCATCCTCATCTAACGGCGTCGTCTCGTCTGCGGTGCTCCTGGGGCGCAGAACGATGTATGCCCTCGGAAGCTCGCTTCCATACTCCTCTAGGATAACACCTATCACCGCTGCGTCTAGTATCTGCGGGTGGGCCAGCAGTATGCCCTCTAGTTCTACCGGAGCGACCTGGAAACCGCGGACTTTGATAAGTTCCTAGATGCGCAGGAAAGAGCGCGGCATTATTAGTTCGCGCTATATGGACTACCGTACCCTTTCGTAAAAGTTGGATTGGTCCTAAGGAGGGTCTTCCTAATTGTCTTTCGCTACCATACTTGCTTAACGTGTGAATGTTTGGGGGTCTTGCCCTCTGGTTGGCCCGCCCGCCCTTAGCTCCAATCCGACTTTTACGAAAAGGTTCAGTAACTAATTGGCGTAGTGTAACGCAATGAGCCATGATGGAGTTTTCGCTACTGTAGCCGCTGTACAAGGCACTGGGTTTGTGGGGGGAGGAGGAGAAAGGGTAAACGGTGCTACTGCGGCAAACGAACCTTTTTCCTGTCTATCAGGTACCATTTCTTGGTTTCCCGATCACAGTACCCTACATCGCCAGTGTGATAGAATCCGCCCTGGTCCCAGGAGGTGCGGGTAGCGTCCGGGTTCCCGAAGTAGCCCTTTACGATTGTCGGACCGCTGTACTCGTAGCATCGCATGTATCGTGCATACCGTTAGCCAGGTGACCCCGGCCAAATTGAAGGAGAGGGCTCCAGACGCGGTGCCGCATTGTAAGACCTTTAGCAGCAATGGGCGGGGCAGCAGCTTGCTTGCTTACCGTAGGCATATTTCGCCAGTGGCATTGTAGTCGCTGATGTCTGCTCCTTCGTCGTCTACGATCCTGTCCGTTGCGAGATGAAGGAGATAACAGCATTAGGGCTCGCTTGCTCCTTAACCAAGGGGGAAAAAAGAGCTGGGAAAAAACGTGGAAGCGATCCCGCATACTTAGCTTCAATACCCGGTATCAATCTCCCTACGCTCCCAGTACCGTCGAGTTCTGGGTGATTAAATTTAGTCACGATGCAAGTCGCCTCGGTCATTCCCCATAGCTGGGTAATCCTTGGTTCGTTCTCTTCTGGTCCCTTCACAGGTTTGATCTTCCGGATCAACGTCCTCTGGATATCGGGGTTCAATGCCCACGCAGACGAAATCACCATCCTCAACGACGAAATATCGTACCTATCCGTTAGCGGGGATTTAATGATCCCGGTGGCGATGATGGGCGGGAGGGAGGTGTGAGTTGCTTTGTACTTTTCCACAGTGGAGAGCCAGTTTTCCATGTCGAACCTCCGGAGGACGTATCCGGTCGAGGGCTTTCGGAACATACTCGTGAAGACCAGGGGGACGTTGGCGACGTGGAACATGGGGAGTTTTAGGGTCCAGATTTGCTATCATTCCGTGTTATAGCTTAGCTCGGGAATATAATAATAATAATTGAAGATGTAATAATAGTAGTAATAGCGAACCCACCCCTTCGAGTCCATTTTCGGTCTCATGCGCGAGTTCGTGCTGCGCTACAATGTTGTAATGCGTGATTTCCACTCCCTTCGGTAACCCCGACGTTCCGCTGCTAAAGAGTCTACAGGCAACTGTGTTCTCGGCCGTTTCTTTATCATCGAACCTTACCCAATCCTCCCCTTCCTTTCCCCCAGCATTGAGTAACTCCTCCCATGATATCTCCCCAGGAGGAACGCTCTGTCCCTCCCTGGGATTGAACACATACACCGCTTTAACACTCCCCTCCGGCAACCCCTCAATCGCCGCCCGAACATTCACCAGCAATTCCGGCTCGGAAATCACGATCCTCGTTTGCGACGTCGCGATATGGTGAATCAATTCCCGAGGAGTGTACGACGGGTTCGAGCCCGCAAATACCCCGCCGGCACCGATTATGGAGAGGCCGAGGATGGGGTAGTAAATCTGTGGTACAGATACCGATACCCATCCGTTAGCTCGTTATCGGGAGGCCGATTCGGAACTTGGGGGGGGGGTTACATCGTTGAAAGAATGTATAAGCACGCAATCCCCTTTTCCCATTCCCGCCGCCTTTAAGCCTTTGATCAATCTCCGGATTGTGTTCCGGGCGTGGCCGAAGGTTACGTAGCGGGAGTCATTATTCGCGTCAATCAGGATCTAGGGCGCTCAATAGTCTATCTTTAGCCTTCAATCTCCGTCACTCGCAAAACGGAGCGGAAGAAATACTTTCTGATCATCCTCACATCTTGGTTCATCGAAAATCCATGATAGGATATCCTTCGTGGGTATCGGCGGCGGAGCAGGTCCTTTAAAGAATGCCGGCTCCATGGTTTTGTTTCACTATTCTCCTTCCCTTCCCTTTATGGCTCAGGTTGTCGAGTTCGCACCTCGGCGAAGCTGTGGCTGCACTGTCAAGCCAGGACCACAACGGTGCTTAAGTATAATGCCGTACTTTGCTACCCCGCACGTAAACGCCCTTGGATGCTTCCCCTGCCCACCTATCCTGCCCACCTCACTTCTCTCCCCGGACCGGGGGCTAAAAGGAATAGGTAGAGAGATGGGTATATAATATTATAAAAAAAAAGCGGGAAAACATCACATCACTAGCGTACTTGAGTAAGAAGTGCTCGAGTGACCCCCGGTAAAAATATGAGCTCTTATGCTATACACGTGACATGACTAATACGATCATCGGGGCACTGAACTTGTACTCGCAGTTGAAGCCGGGTCAGCGAGACAAGGATAAATAGATTATATCGAAGTACTGTACTCGCAACGGGGTCAAGTATTGGAACAACCTGTTGTCTGGGCGTAATTATCCTATTTGGGTATTTCCATGGACTTTTAATTCAGATCCTACACACTTAAGAAATATCCGGTACGAATTGACACCCTTTTTGGGAGGTTCGCGAGAACCCCGGCGCTTCTTCGCTCCCACACAAAATCCCCTGCATGTCCCAATACTTTACCCCTGCCCCGTAATAAGTGTACAGTACTCAAGTACGTACGGGACGAGAGGGTGGAATATCTGCATCACGAGGTACGGCGCCGCAAGTTGCTCGGATAGAAGAAAAATGTGCTAGGTGGTCGAAATCCCCCCCCCGGCACAAGAGTGAGAGATGTCACCGAAAACCCCTACCCTTCAACTATTGGGACAAGAAAAATGGAGTATCATAAGAAAATGACAATAACCTCACTACGAGAGGAAAGTACAACAACACCCCTAGCACATTTCCATTATATATGGGCGCTGACGATAGCTAGCATTGTCCCGTGCGGGAGGACTGAAGTCAGAACACAACCAAAGGTGGTTTCTGAGGAAAAGGAAGGCTGGATGCCAGTATTCCGGATAACTCATGAATGAGACGAAGGGAGCCATACAAATTAACGATACGACAGAGTGACCGACTCTCTTTCTCTCCCCCCATCCAATAGTACCAAAAACACCATTTTTTCCTCCAGAGCAGACTGGTGAGTGATATCGTACGTGATTTGGAATTACTCATCTGACCTACCGGCCTATCGCCAACAAAACAAGTACCGGAATTATCTGCCTACCGTATTTTTCCGGTCGCTGGTCAATTAATGTTCTGGCAGGCAGAGCGACGTATCGGTATCGCGGGGGATCTTCCGGTCTGCCCCTCTTGCGCATGGATCAGAGCATATTTTTACCCATTCAACGAAGCACCCCCCCCCTCCAGCCCTGATCAAGCCCCACCAGACCCGGGACCGGGAACGTCAAATGTCAAGGTCAACACCAGAATCCCAAATCACGGTACGTATGATACTGTGCAAGTACAAATTGCAAGTCCCGGGCACGCACACATTTATAGGTACCGGGAACCATCCACGGGTGCCATGGACTCACCCTTCTTCCGAGATGAGAGCTGGATGGGAGGGGATGCAAGGGTTGTAACAGTACATCATTGGGATGTGGCTCAACATTTGTGGAAGGGTGGTTACGAGTGAGAATGTGTGCTTCTGCCCCTTTATTTGTGAGGAGAGTAAAAGGTAGTTATCCTGGGTGGAGAATCACTTAAGAACGCAGTAAAGTAGTGGTGTAATCCACTTCAATTGGAGAAAAATAAGATAACAGCTGGCATATCATTGCTTGTGGGAATCTTGTCTAAACCACAGCGTACGCAGCCTCAAGCACCCGCCCATTCACCCACCGCAAACTACCATTCATCGATGGGGTGCGTCATCTAAGTTTATAAACCCTAACAGTATTTCTCGAAAACAACTTCTCCATCGCGTCCTCATCCTGACCTAGCTTCTGCATCACCTTAGCCGCCAATACACGCCAAGTCTCCCACGCACTAAGTTCTCCGGATGGATAAATCTTTTCGAACCCCATCTTGCAGACGGGCCAGTCGCTCCCCCAGATGACCCGGTCAGGACCGAAAATGGAAAGGACTTCAGAGATCCAGGGGGTGACATGGGCGATTATTGCACCCTCCTTCTGGGAGGCGGAGAGTTTGGAGAATGACTCGTCGTGGGGGAGTTCGGCGAATATACCAGATATTTTCATGACGATGGAAGGGTGGGAAGCGGCGAGGGCTTTGACGTTGGATTTCCAAGTTCGGAAGGTTGGGTGGGAGGAGATTTCGGAAGGATCAATTTGGAGGTTTGGTTTGCAAAGGTGGTCTAGTTAGTCAAGAGTTAGCTACCATGCTGCTACTATCATGGATGGGGGAGCGGGTAAACGTACTAACAACGAAAGCCCCAACACCCTCAACATCCTCCGAGTCTTTGACAACTTCTTGAATAGCCTTAACAGCCTCTTCCAGCTGCCACAATCCACCACTCCTGGTGTCAACCCCAATTTCAACAACTAGCCCCTTCTTCCACACCCACCCCATACTCTCCCGGAACTTGACTTCACCAATGGTCCCCGAGGGCTTATCCTGCACGAGATACCTAAATCCTTTCAACATTCCCTTCTTCTCGGCATTCTCTTCCCCTCCAACATCCAGCAACTCGTAAAACCTCTCCACTGCCAAAACCCCAAGATTCATCGGGGCCCAAGGAACGATCCCAAGGACGTACTTGCCATGAGCATGCGTCTTTGAAAGTCCATATACAAACTCGAATTCCTCTAGCGGCCATTGCCACGCCTTCTTCAACGCAACAGTGTCACTTTTAGAAATTGCCTCATTAGAGGGGATGGTGTAGCGTCTATCCGTCTCGATGAACACAAACCCCTTAAAGTCGGCGAGCCCAGAAGGAGGGATGCCAGAGAGATACTCTGGGATGGAGTTTTGGGCGTAGAGGGAGTTTTCCGGGGTTGCCCAGGCGAGGTGTGGAAGGTGGTCTTCGGTGAAGAGGTGAATATGAGAGTCAATTATCGGTGGCATTCTGAACCGAATCTATTTTATCTCGTTGGTTGGTTATATGGTGAAGATGTTTGCTGGTTCCGGGAGAAGAGGAAGAATGGAGCTTATTGCCAGTCGGTTTGCGCTAACTTTATAAGAGATAGGGGATACACACGGAAGACAGACCTCCTCCCTGACGTCGTCGTAATCAAAGGGACTGCAGGGTAGGGGATAGGGTATTCGAGTAGTGTGGGAAAGCGGGAATGGGGAATTTACCCGAGATCGTTCTACCTAGCGGTTAAATAGGTCCCGGGTTAGGTTCGATGCACAAAGGAGATATTATAGAATATCATAGCTTACTTATAATATCATACAGTAATATCGCAACCCACAGCTGTGTGAGTCGATTTCTCCAGTGGCAAACTTAAGGCCTCACGTCTCGAAATCTTCAAGCACCCCCTCCCTTCCCAAATGCTGTATTATCTTGAACAAGAGAGAATTGTCTCGGGACGTCTGAGTTTCCTATTTTGACTGGGGCGGGAGAAAATGCCAGCAAAACCAAACAACGCCTTAGTCAGAAGGGAAGTCTAGACGTCCTAAGACTATTCTCTCTTACTCGAGATAATACAGTAAGCGAGAAATCGATCCTATTTTTCTAGGTCAAGAGGCATTTTACCAACTCAAGGAATGGTTACGAGTACTTCCCGGGCCCTTTAGGTTCCCAGAATGGCATGCCCGGTTCATTGTTTGTATCGCCCTCGGTAACCTCTACGGTAGAGCAGCTCTTGGAGAGCGCACAACAGCACAGAGTTTAGAGCAATTATGGGAGATGGACTTTGATTCAGGGCCAGCTTGAAATACCTCGCCGGAGCCCGTATGATATCTGTCTTGCAGAATCAGCTTCCCCGCAAGCACCAGTTGTGCCGGTCATTCAACTTGGAGCAAAAATGGAACCCGAGATACATGTAACGCCACCAGTCCACCCACTTCCACCACACTACCACCACTGAATCCGGAGAAGGCACTAAGGGTGCTCAAGTACTCGCGCATACCTTAGCTACACACCATCAAGCAGATTCCGGCGATTCAGCAACAGTGCCCAAAGGGGGGGGGGGTATTTGCGAGAGCACCGCTATCAAGGCCGAGGAGTGGGATGACTGGCGAAGCGATCAGTGGTTCTCTAGAATCATGCTTTTTGATACCTATCATACCCCGATCCGCAAGAAGCTGTAAATTGTGGTTGGGTGTGTCCCTTGGCGGCCTCGATCTCAGTCCCATACTTAATCCCGACCCATCCGCCCTGCCCAAAAACGCTGTTCTCCGTTGATGTTTGCATCTCAGATACCCAAAGCACGTTTGGACGTTCCTCAATTGGCCCTAAAAATTCTGGAAGTAAAGATTGTCATCATTGGTCTCATGTCACATCTTCACCCTCGGCCCCACTAGAATGTTCGGGACAAGCAACGACGGGAAGAGCACAATAAGATGGAACTTATAAAGAACTGGCGTTCTCGTGAAGCCATATTTGTCTGCAAGGAATGCCCAAGTTGTTCCGCTGTGTCCAAACCTCGTACTAACGAATCCCGGTGATAATAGCGGGCTTTGAGAAAATATTGTTTTTCGCCTGGAAATTATTTATGTACCAGGAGCTAGGACTCACTTCCCCAGCCAAGGCTTGAAGGCGTGCATAAACCCACATCTACGCGGCCATCAGGGAAGCAAAAAAAAAAACGCCATGTCAGCAACTAGAAGAGGGATGAGCGAAGGGAACCTTGTACCGAGCCAACAGCCGGGACCTTAGTTAAGGAGTTCTGGTATGAAGCAGAAAAATCTATTCCCTCATACTCACTTTTGCTAATCCAGTATTATGATAAAAAGCCCTTATGGAAGGTATTTTCGGCGAGAACTCCAAGAAACCCTTCCCGAGCCGGAATAGGTGTTTGAAAAACTGACAAATGGGATGTGGCCTGGGAGGAACGCTCAGAGTATTACCGGCAGTATTTTATCTCACCAAATACCTCCCGCACAGTGGTAGAAGTAGGGAATTACATCTCCGAGTAAAGAATAAATGGAGCAGTGGTAGAGTGAGCAGGCTTGCTTAGGACTTGGGGGGGCGTGAATAGCAGCGGTAGGAAAGGCGTGGTCATAATATTCTTTCCCTCTTCCTTTCTGATCAAATTAACGGTAAAAGTAGTGGTACGGATTAAACACAATAAAATCATCTTGATCCTTCTATTGACCCCCTCGCATACTTCTCGAACTCCACGTATGTTTCTCTTCCTCTACACACTCCCGTGATAACAGGGAAAAAAAGTGTCTGGAGAGTCCTCTCAACAACCCACGATAACTCTAGAACAATTGGCCACACTCCAAAACAATCCACAACACCCTGGGGCAATCCGCGTACTAACCTCCTTCCTCAACTCCGACATTACGAACAGGGTGCAAGTACATAGTGAACCTTGCCGTCGATGATTTTTGTGTAGCCTATGGGTGAGTTTCATATCCGCCCCACGGATGACAATGGAGAGACGGTGGGAGAGCAACTGGGATCAGAGAATCGTTTACGCGGAAGAGGGATCATAATTGATCACTCGGTGCACGAGACTACTGTGCCAATGTCATGCACGAGTGACCTCCAACCTCGGGTAGGAGCGTGGCGATCACTTGGGTCGGGGCATCTACGCTTGACCTAGTGTTGTGTGGATGCACATTTTCCCTTTTCGTATAATAATAATATTATTATATACTTTTTTTTTATCTCGGAGGGGCACGCTCCATCAACACTATGGTGCGGTACCCATAACTCCTGATAGGTTAAGCGAACCCCGACAGAGCAGGATTGAGATCGAAGCCACCAAAAAAAAGATTTTATCGGTCATGAACTGCGCAGACCTGAGCGAGGGAGAAATAAAAGAGGGGACGCACTAGTTTATGGAACAGCAACTGGGTACCATGGATAATGGAAATATTAGAGGACGTGCGGTGTATCACCCCCATTCGCAGAGTCCGACCCATTTTCTTGCACCGAATGCTTTGAGGCTCTGTTCCAAAATGGGGCATGGGACGTGGGGGATGGGTGAAAAGGGGGTTGGAAAACCAGTATCATAAAACAGAGCCTCTCGATGGCGCTATTCAGGCTCGCCGCCCTATACACTTGAGGGCTTACGGAAACCGGTGTTGCACCGCAATCATTGGCCTTTTTTCATACAGTTCGTCACCCAGCGCGAGACAAAATTCACAAATTGAAGTATCATTATAATATTATAATACTATAAAGCAAGACTAGATGACGCGACTTTCCTTTGCCACAAAACCGCATACTGCACCCGTATACTATAATTGCTCATGCTCTTCAAGTGCAAATCCCACCTCCATGGTGCATTGGATTCACGATCGAGAAATATACGATAAATACAATCGCGGTATTACTCATTCCTCCATCTATGGGGAGGATTTATGCCCGAGGGGAGTGGAGATATAGCTAGCATTAGGACACACAAATTAGGACACACAAACAAGAAGGGTTCCCTACCTAGACGCACCATGCCGAGAGGACCTCAAACGAGCTCTTTGGTGTTTTTCTATTTCGGCGAAGGGGCCACAAACTAATCTTCACATGTATGGTTCAAGCAATTCAAAAAGCGTACCAGAAATTTCCAAATTTCCAAATTCTAAAGGCTCCACACTCCCTTATAAAATTAGCATTAAAAAACCTGTTTCTCGAAGAGCAAGAGAAGGAGAATCAGAAACAGGTTTTTTTATTCTAAATATTTTTGTAAATAAAAATCCTTTAGAATTTGAAATTTTGTATTTTTGGTGGGAAAGTGAAAAAAGTGTTACGTTAGCCACACTTTCCAATCTCTAAAACCCCAAAATTACCTTCTAGGTTTTACCATTTTTATACCTCTTTCATACCTATCCCACAACCTAGCATAAATTACACAAGCTCTTATATTAATTATATAATAATATTATCATAATATAATAAGATATTACTATCCCCATATTTACCAACTGTATAATATTATAACAATTTTCATAATTATACAATTAATCATTCATCCAATTTCTATCAAACAAACTATCTTTACTCTCTATGTTGTGCTCATGCAATCATAGCTGACCAACCTGATTTTGAAAATCAAAAATATTGACTTCAAGAGGAAATTGAGAAATATAACAACCTTGTTCTCTTCTATCCTAAATTCCACTGCAAACTCAATTTTATTGAGTATATGTGGTGTGCAGCTAAACAGTATACTAGAAGTCACTGTGGCTACAGTATTGAAGCTCTGAGATACCTTATTCTAGAAGCATTGAACTCCATCCCCAACAGTTTAATATGGAAATTTTCACAGAGGGCAGAAAGGATTATGAATACCTATTGTCAAGGAGTTACATATGAGTCTACAGAATTTCAAGCAGCTGTGCAGCACAAATATAAGAGCCATAGACGGGTTAGCAATATGATTAACTCGGAGGTTGGTAGGAGATATTTGTTTTATCATACAATAGGTATTATTATATGATACAATTATAATAATAATATATTATATTATCATGGTAAATTTAGAAAATTAAAATCCTATACTGTAAACCCTGTATTCATGGTTAGTGTTGTACCCTAGAGGGAACATCTTGGCATGAAAACCCACACAGCCACACATAACACTATTTTTCAGCCTGGTCATGTTTTTGAATCGCTTGAACCATAGGTTGTGGCTCAAGTTCACTCGGGTTTCCCGACCACCCCATAGTAATAGCGCCTTGATTTCTAGCAACCGTGCTATCTCCAATATCCTACTAGAGGGCCTCCCAGCGCACTAAGAAGCAAGCCCATGTTAGAAACAGTAACACAATACTAGCCTTTTAACCTAACCGAGTCAATTGTCATACAAATTATTCACTCTATACAGAAGCCCACAAACTGTGCAATTCCTGCCCAAGCAGTGCGTGATAGTTCCTCGAAAGTCGTGCCCTCCCATACAAGTCCCTAACATGTGCCCAATATCAATCATGGGTAAAAACAAATTTTAATAAATACAATAACTCGCCTGATATAATCCATACATTAACCCTCCGCCAACGCAACAACCGACAACTCAATAATACATCACACCATAACCCCGACCACCCCTAACCCACTAATCCACTGCCCGGACATCAAACCCACAATTAAAGCCCTGCAGCCTCCTTAACCTCCTCCAGGCTAGTGTCCGAAATTTGGACGCGATATACATAACTATCGAATATTCTATCTGTGCCAGCAGGCGCGACCTCTCCAGAATACGCCCCACCAGGCGGGCAGTACCTGGTCCCATCATCACTGTTCCCCGCAGCTTCTGCACGGTAAATTCCGAACTTAGGAGAAGTGTTACCGGTAAGGAGAAAGACGTTCTCAAGACGGCTGCTACCTCCGTGAGCGGCATTGAACTTTTGCTGCTTGCCGTCGACGTAGAATTCCAGCCATCCCTTGCCCTTGTTATTCGTGTTGATGATGAAGCCGAGGGAGTGGCTGGTGCTTCCGGCGGACAGGGGGCCTGTCCAGACAATTTCGCGGTTGGAACCGTCGGTGCCTGGAATGGTGTACTCGATTACGAGGTCGAGATCGGAGTTGAAGTGAACGTAAAGGGGAATGTTCTGCTTCGGAGCAACCTCCTTATCCCATTTTTTCCTGCGCGAGGTCAGAAGGGTTAATAAGCCGGGGGACATTGAAGGAGATAAGTGAAGTATTTACCATTGGAAGATGACGAGTCCGTCATGAGCCTTTTCAAGACGGAAGTTGTACCCAATATAGTAAGTCTTATCCTCGACAGCTTGATTCTAAGATAGATCTCCGTGTTAGCGCACAATTTAACCTCCATCAGGGGAAATTTATTCGCACATTGGCCTCGGACATAGCCCGAACCTCCGCTCGTCTAAAGTGAGGATCACGATGGTAATGCAAAGCGTCCTTTCCGGTAGCAGGATCCTTCTCGGATCTGATAAAAGCAGCGTTTCCGGCACTGGTAATCTTGCAACCTAAGCTTTGGCCTTCGAGCTCGAGGTTGCCGAGAGTACTCGGTTGGTCTCCGCCTTTGAAGTCAACGATGAGTTTCGCTGCTGCGAGTATAAAGGGGGAGGAGACAAGTGCGGTGAGAAGTGAGAGCTTCATTGTAGAGTAGCTGCTAGTCCACGAAGGGATTGGTATGCGTAGAGATAGTAGTAGAGAGCGAATGTAAACTGGAAGGACTGTTGAAACCGAGACTGGTTTGCCAGGTAAAGAATTGACATCGGCGCGGATGGTAGGACACTTTGTAGAGAATCCCTTATACGATAGTCCGGATGCCCACTTGATTTTGCTGACACGATGTTTCCCCTCGGGGCGCTTGAGGAAACTGATGACACAACCAATATTTGCTCAAAAGCAACATTCCCTGCGGTACATTCCTGGCTGCTGAGGATCTCTTCAACCAAGACCTGAATAATTAGCTAGTTAGTCCTTGCAATACCGGCAGTAAGACAAGGTCAGCAGGCGCAGTGGTAATTAATCCGGAAGCAAGAGGTCCATAGAAGCCACGCCTAAGACTGGAGCGATTACTGTTCCGGTAGCAGCTACCCCTACGCCCAGATAAGTGCGTGACTAATCGAGTGAACGTTAGTAATTCCACTGAGAAGCGCAGGTGAACTAACTTATGGAATTTGATCGGGCTCAATTTGTTTTGGGTTGTGGAGATTACTCGAGTACGGTACTGTACTTGTACTCGTACTGGTAGTACTGTACAAGTAGACATGGGGCTGCTCCATAAGCTAGGATCCAGATGCTTGTCAAGGGACTGCAGGAGCATCAGAAGCTTCAGAAGCATCACACCCGAAATTAAGTTTCACCCTCTGTCAGGACCTTGAGCATAACTCCTTACCAGATCGAAATGCGCGTTACTCGAGTACCCCCAGCCATGTCTTGTCAGTATCCCAAGCAACATTCGCCCAATGAGTAACTTGTATTAATCGCGGTTCAGTAAGTGCTTACCCCCCACCTGGCGATTAAACTTCAAGGAAGAAATAAGTGAGATCTAAGATACTTCCGCCTCCTGCATCAGCCGATTGGATCTGGCTCCGTGAAGTATGATCCGAGGCCTATGAGCAGCCACAGGGTTCTTAAACACTTGCGATGCATTCCCTGCTATTCCGATCCAGTGACTAAACAATCCTCTCTAATAGTCCACGAGTAGCATTCGGGATTTCCAGAATATTTTCAGCTCCCCCAATTAGATCACAGACGACCTTTTCATTCTCAACCAGCCCCACACCGTAACACAACCTTCGTGCTCAGGCTGTATGGAATTTCTGGCAGTTGCTCCCGAAAGCCCCGAGCCAAGCTCGCAGCAATATGGATTGTTTACCAATACGGTACGAGAATTCAAAAAGGTCGAGTCCGCATCACGAGCAACCCACGAATCGCGAAAACCAAGCCCCCAATTTTTCGGTTTTGAAGCCTGAAGCCGCAGATCCATAAAAATGGCAGATTTGGGTTGTGGCTTCAAAGGGGCTCGGGGGCATGTCTTGGGAGGGGCGGACGAAGACGCGAGAAACGAACAGGAAAGTAAGGAATTAAGGATGGTGAATTGACTTCCTCCCTTGAGGTTTTCGGCTTGTTTTGTCCTCGTTGGTTCTCATTGTGCCTTCGCGAGAAAGACTACGAATGTTCATTCCGAATCCCCTTTGTATAATATCGACACCTCTTCTCTTCAGGTTTTGACTTCACCATTATACTCATCGGGGATCGGGAGGTATGCCGTCGCTATCACCGGAAGTACTCGTACATTACAGCGGGTCTGACGGTAACTTTATCCGGGGAGATCATATTTGCTTGTCGCTCTTGCCATTTATTTTCCCCAAAAGAACGCTGACCCGGTGGAAGGGTCGGACAGTGTGAACGGGGGTGATGAATAAACCCTTTCCCCTCCTCTAGTCATATAATAGCTAAGCAAGGAGGCAGAGGCCAAACGTGCCAAAATTGGGGTTTTCCGATCCGTCGAAATCCAACGAGTTTTATTGCAGGGGAAAACAGAAAAAATAGATTACTCTGGAGCCTCCTAGGATTTAACACTTCAGGTTCCCCCGCCCAACTGGGACAGGGTAGTAATCAACTCTTTCCCTACGGCCATATAGAACCCGCCGAGACAAAGTATCTTGTATCATATGCGAAAGATACATTGCGGGTATCGATTACTTTAGGTGCCCCCACCTTCTGTATGGAGCACATAAAAATGGGCAAGAATTGTGTGATACTGTGGATTATATCATACCTCGGCCACCCAGCCACCCCCCCCCGCGAAGGTTTCTTGAAACTTAATATCAGAATCAGTGCAAATAACCATCACTCGAAAACTCCTATTTTTGGTGTGTTTTGGCCTGTGTCTCCGTTAATAAACAACTGGTGTTGGCATCCTGACCGGAGCGAGCTTTTATGACGCGCTTGACTTCATGCGCTTCTCTCGTTGGGCTCACTTTTTCCTGGACAGGCGAAAAAAACTGGCAGCCACATATATAACGGGAATACGTCTTTATATTTTCCATGCGTCTTGGGGCTGTGATAATATTATGATAAAACACATCCCGCAGGTCTCTGGTCCCGAAAACCTGTATGGCGAAGCACGCCTTTGGCCACCTACTCCTAATAAATCCTGGGTACTAGCGAATCAAATCTGGACCTTGTTGAAGGCGCCATTTGAATCA